AAAATACAATACATTTCACCGAAATCATATTGACTTAATTTTAACTATTCCATAATTGTTGATAGTACATTTATCCGAAATGTAGCTGTGTCGATGTTTTGCTTACCAATTAAAACTGATTTGTTTACTCATAATGGCTTGCTCATTAATTTGTTTATTTGATATGTTGTATTTCAAAAGAAGAGAATTTGTTATTTGCAAAATATTTTCTTTCATATAGCAATATGAATATATCGGATTAAAATATTTTAAATTTTGGTTCACTTCGGTTAACCTTTCCTACTTAATCCTAAGTTCAGTGAGCTTAGTTTTTTAATGGAATTCAAATGTTTGGTTTCGTAATTTGAAACTGCATTATATGTTTTCAATACGCATAATTTTCGCACTTAAAACGCATAAAATTTCCAAGGATTCAGACTGCATATTTCATTTGTCCGCAAACATTTTGTCGCGATATCGACGAGTTAAAATTGTCTTTCAGATCGGTATGTTTTTTCACGGGTTCTGGTAATGCGAAGTATCTTACGTCATTATGAATTACTTTTTCCGTACAATCCTTCAAAAGCAATTTCAGCTCTCGAATAGACAGGCGAAAATTGTTTACGTTAGTTTTACATATGTTCATTTGAATAAACTAATTGGTTTCATGAAAAAAAACAATTTGACATTATCGAGAATTGTTAAACATTTTCACTTGTCCTTATCATTTTCGCTTGGTTATATCGAATTTTTAAAATTTACAGCGCAATTTTTTATCTGCATCAAAAAATCCGAAAACATCAAGGAGTACCTTATGGAAACGCGTAAGTGGACAGCTTCGGAGCTGCTTCCACCCCGGTGCAAGCAGTTTGGTGCCAATGGCGGTAAGTCCTTATGACTCTCATGTAATGTAAAAATGATATAAAAGTAAGAGAAAGAAGTGGAAAAAGTGTTCTTGATTACTGGAAATAGTTTGAGTTGGGATGAGAAATCCTGATTTAGTCCATAGTAGGACTCGAAATTTCATTTCTGTAAATGTAAGGATTTTGGAAATCTACACACTTGCCATTCTCGATTCTTGTATATCAGACATTTAAAAGTCTGCTATGATGTTAGGGCCGGAATATATTACCGATTTACTTGTCGATTACTTGTCGATTTACCGAAAAGTATTTACCAATTTGTGCAGTTTTCCCTCGGCAAACAAATATCGACAGCAGAACTGGTGAAAACAATGTTACAGTCTGTTTGGCCAAAAGGGAATTGGAAAATCCGACGACTTTACATCTATTCCATGGCTCTTCTTATTGTGGCGAAGGTAGGTTGAAGTGCCCCTGCATTTCTTTATCTTCTTCATATGAAACCGATTCACTTCAGGTTTGAAAATTTGCACTACCTATTCATGAATGGCTAAATTAATAATCTGTACTCACTGCTGCAGGTGCTGAACGTTTATGTACCGTTTTTGCTGAAGAATATAATTAACTATTACAACGAAGTGGCACCAACCGATCTTCAGCTGTCAGCTGATAGTTATAGTAGCATGTTTGGAATTGCGGCATTCTCAGTTATTATAACTTGTGTGTTTTATCTGCAATATTCTTGATACTTGCTAAAAATTCTTTTTAAATTTCAAAGTTTAGGAACCGATTATTAATTCGACGTTTTTAAGATTGTGGGTAATCGGATTTGCAGATATATTCAAAAGTAGTTTTTTTTTTTGTATAGATAGTTATTAATGCCATAATCAATGCGCATTGCAGATGGTGCCGCACGTAGTGGTTCTGCGTTATTTAATGAGCTTCGAAACGCAGTATTTGCACGGGTTGCACAGTATAGTATTCGTAGCATTGCGCGGCAAATTTTCCTTCACTTGCATTCGTTGGATTTGTCATTTCATTTAAGCCGTCAAACAGGCGGTATGTCGAAAGCGTTAGATCGAGGTACTCGAGGTATGGCATTCGTACAAAGTGCGCTGGTATTTAATGTGATACCTACAGCAATTGAAGTTGGCATGGTTTCAGGATTGTTGGTAAGACACTATTCATTGGAAAATTTCAAAATTTGTGAACTTTCTTGGACTGTCATCACATCCCTAACGTTACAACTTTTTTTTCTAGTTCGTCAATTGTGGCCCATCGTTTACATTTGCAACATTAGGTTGTCTTTCAACTTATACTATTGCGACGCTGGGAATCACCAAATGGAGGACTAAATTCCGGCATCAGATGAACCAGGCAGATAACGATGCGAGTAGTCGTGCTATCGACTCGTTAATTAATTATGAAACTGTGAAGGTAATTGTGAATTTTACAATAAATTTTGTGGGAAACAACTGACGAATTCTCAATTTTTGAAATTTATTGGAATCAAACACGCTTATTATTTCAGTATTTCAATAATGAAAATTTTGAAGCGGATCGGTATGATTTTTTCCTGAAGAAATATGAAATAGCGGCTTTGAAGACGAGCACATCGTTGGCACTTTTGAATTTTGCGCAGAATGCAATATTTAGCGGAGGTCTTGTAGCTGTCATGTGTTTAGCAGCAGCAGAAATCCAGAAAGGTACTGCTGTTTCGTAAGACTTCTTTTTGATTTAAAGAATGCGAATACGAACTTTTTTATGCTAACTCTGTTTACGATAATCCTTATCACGATCAGATGTTATATATTCACTCGATAGATTAACACTGCATCGTACGAGGACTGTATTTTCATGTATCAAAATCAAAAGTTAACAATACAATGGCAACGAACAACGTCATCATATTTCATACATTTCTATACAATAGAAAGTGAACAGGAAATGAAATGAAGTTTAAGAAATGAATTGATTGATACATATAGTAGTTCTAAATGATCAAATAGTTTCTTCTTTGCACCGCTTTTAAAAATTTTTAATCAGTGATAGAAATTCCAGGCACAATGAATGTCGGCGATCTTGTCCTTGCTAATACGTTATTGTTCCAATTATCAGTGCCATTAAATTTCCTTGGTTCAGTATATCGGGAAATAAAGCAAGGATTGGTGGATATGCAGCTAATGTTTTCATTACTGTACTTAAAGAGCAGTATAACTGTAAGTTTCTTTTAAAACACATGACGTTATTTCTTCAAGATACATATTATTGGTTTGTTCTGCACCAAATTAAAAGGTAGATTAGATTTTTGCTTCATTACGACAGTCATTGCTTAAATCTACTTATGGTGTATACAAATCCTGAAATTTGAACATAACAACAGATGTTTGGATTTCGAACTGATGGAATACTGCATTTTAGGAGAAACCAAACGCACCACCTCTGAAAGTTCATGCAGGAAATGCGTCCATATCGTTTAGAAATGTTACATTTGGCTATCTTCCGGGACAGCACATATTGAAAGGCTTAAATTTGGATATTCCTTCTGGTAAAAAAGTGTGTTTTAATTCCTTAGGATTCTGTTTCTCTTATATCAATATCATATGCTTAAAGGATGCGCGTCCAGTGTTTTATCTGCTGATATCAATTAATTTACAGGTAGCTATAGTGGGTAGCAGCGGCAGCGGTAAATCAACTATTGTTCGGCTTTTATATCGTTTATTTGATCCGATGGATGGCGAAATTTGTGTTAACGGTCAAAAAATTTGTGATGTCCAACTCGAAAGTTTGAGAAAAATGATTTCCGTTGTACCTCAGGTCAGACTGTGACTTTCTTCATAATTATCTATAACGTAAAAAAATTGATGTGCTAACAATTATGTTGCATGGAAGAAAGTAGACCAAAGCTGTAGAAGTTTTCTCTGCAATTTTTCTATGTTTTTTTGAAGGGTACAAAGTAATTTTGGGAATTTCAGGACTCAGTTCTTTTCCATGATACTGTATACTACAATATACAGTATGGAAATCCGACTGCATCCAAGGAAGAGGTAAATTGAGTTTTTTTCTTTTTGGAGCGGTATTTAATCCGTTGGAATTCGAGTTTTATCCACCATTAATTTCAGATTTTCTCTGTGTCGAGATTAGCAAACTTACATGATTCGGTGATTCGATTCAAAAATGGTTACGATACAGTTGTTGGCGAAAGAGGCTTGAAGTTAAGTGGAGGAGAAAAGCAACGGGTTGCAATTGCTCGAGCATTACTTAAAAATGCTCCTATTATAGGTCATAATTCAAGTTTACATTGAAGACTTCTTAGTTTATGTTTAGAATTGATATCTCATCGCAATCTGTATCTTGCTACTAGGTTTGTCAAGTTTGAGCTTATTATGTGTGACGATGGAGCGGAGCGTCTAAAGTTCTATTTGGAATTTCATAATGCAAAATTAGGCGTAAATGAAGTTGTGCTGCTTCATATACAATTTAATTATGTATTATGCAAGTCCAGGTGGTAAATTCTTATTAGAATTAGCTTTTTTTTCCTTAAAATCCACATCGTCAATTTTAATAGAATAATATTTTCTGTGGCTTGCGTTGATATGAATGCGTCCAATCTCGTGGAGCAGCCTTTACAGTTTGTTTTTTGTGAAAACTAACTGGTGATTGGAGTCCTCTATCAGTTATTATCTATTTTGGGCATATAGGCTCAATCTTTGATCAACTCGAGTTAAATCCTTTATTGTTTTTCTCCTTATGATCATATAGCGAAAATTATAGTTTATGATGAAGCAACTTCATCGTTGGATGCTTTGACGGAGGAAAATATTATGAGTTCTATGCGAAATGCTGTGCAGCAACGTACGTCATTGTTCATTGCACATCGTTTAGCTACAATTATTGATGCTGATATCATCTATGTGCTGGAAAATGGAAAAGTAAGTTTATTTCGCGAAATTTCTTTCACATTTTAACTTCCTTTACGAACTACAAAACATTTTGTTTTCAGATATGGAATACTACAGTAGTCATTCTTTGTATACTTACGTTAAACTAATATTAACTAAATAGTGGTACTATTGAAGATTCGAAGTAGTGACGAACAAATTCAATTTTTAAATTTCTAATTTGAAACAGAATGTGAGGAATTATTTGAGTATTTCTAAATGAAAATAGGTGATTTATTTTAGGTGATAGAAAGTGGATCTCACTTCGAACTACTTGCAAAACCTGATAGCCGTTATTCTGATCTCTGGAAATCACAGCATAAATATTCTGAAGTAGTACAACCGAAACAACCAAACTCTCATAAGCATGGGTCGGAACATTTGCATCTAAAATCTTTCGACAATCACCGTAACGATGGCTGCTGTAGGTCAGGTGGCGGTTGTAAACGTTGAAACGTTTAGAAATAGCTTGTTACTACTTGATTTTTCTTCTTCATACTGTGCACCGGAATGAATGCGATCAGTTTTTAATTTTTCTTTTTTAGAAATATTTTTGGTGATTTGTGGAAAACTTTAAGAGTTACGGACATGCTTTAACTAAAGTTTT